GCGGGGCTGGGCGCGGGGCCGGGCCTGGGCCAGGGGTTTCTGTCCTGAAGCAGTAAAGGAAATGCTGCCCACACATCCGCCAGATTTGTGCCTAATTTTTGCCAGCGGCGCCGATGGGATCGTTTGCCTTCTGTCTCTCCATTGGCTCTTTAGCCGGTTTGAAGACGGCTTTAGTGTTACCAAGGTCAGTACTTCTCAAACTAGAGGTGGTGAGGGACCCGGTTGATTTTTTTCCCCATTCCGGGGCAGATCAGTACTTTTAAACACACCACACACACACTGCATCCGCGGCTCGGACTGAAAAAAATAAGAATAACTAAAAAGAAGCCCAAACTGGATGCTCCTTGGATGTTCCAGCAATATCAAATTTCTATAAAAATTTCTAGGCCAGGGGAAGGAGGATGGCTTAAGTACCTTCCCTTTTCCCAGGAAAGTTTTTAGCCAGTTGGACAGGTTGATCTGGAAGAGGATGCCAGCCACTGTCCCATCATACTAAGGCTTAAATATCACCCCAGCCCCACAGTCAGACCTCTGCTGGGGTGCTTGGCCACAAGGCTCTGAAGCCCCACTCCACGTGGGAAGAGTGTCAGCAGCGGACTGGGCCATGCATCCGCCACTCTCTCTTGACCCCAGGAAACCTTGAATGGGTCCAGTGGTTTACATGCATCACTCTCTGCATCCTCAGAACCATTTGAGGGGGCTGAGCATGTATTAGCCCCATTTTCACAAGTGAGAAACCCGAGGTTCAGAAATTTAAATAGCTTGCTCAAGGCACGCAAACAATGAGTGGCAAGCGATTTCAGGCTCCTGACACTAGATTCTGGCTTCCCCGTTGCACTGTTATGCCTCTCTGGCATGACGGGGTGACCATGCCAGTCAGCTGTGATGGACACCAGGAAAGGTTAGTCTACCTTGTGGGGACATTCCTGACGGCCCGCAATAGCTGGGGAGTTTGAATTGCTGTAGGACAGAGTAGAGTTTGTCATTAGGGAAACTCCAGGAAACCTACGCTTCTGCCCCCAAGAAAACCCAGCCCTATTTGACAGCCTTGGGTTACCCCTTCCCTGCTTGATCTAGAACAGAAATGTTTTTCCCAGAAAGATTGTGGAGTCCACCACCATTCTGTGAAACACCAGTGTTCCACCCATTACAGAAACCAGGACGTCATAGAATGGAGGCAGAACAGTGTTGCTATGGCAATGAGATAGGCTGCTATGACAACTTGCCCAATCCCCCACCCCGAAACTGTCCTCCAGGATCTCTCAAATTATTTTTACTGCTGTGGGCAGTATGTGTCCCAGCATGGGATGCCAGGGTGATGCTGTTGGTATTTCATCCCTGAACACTTTCAGGTGTGTCTCTGTACCACTGGGAGAGAATCATAAACTAAATACCTATCCTGTTAAGTGAGTTCTTCTCCGAGTCCCTGGACCAGTTCTTTCTCTGATGAAGTCTGCGGGTAAGAAGAGACTAGTGGGTCTCTAAAATCTGCTCTTAGCCAGCCTAATCTTACAAAATTCTCTGTGATCCCTTGTAACCCTTCCTCATGGCCTTAAGTTTAGGCAGATAGGAGGCAGGGCGGGGTGTGTGTGTGAGAGAGTGTGTGCATGTTGCTTCAGAAGTAGAAGAGTGAAATGTGTTCCTCTGGTATAAAAAGCAAGCCTGTGCCAGAGCAGGTATGTGTAAGGGGGTAAACGTGAGAAACATACATGTGTCTGTGTGAGCCTGTGTGTGGTGTGGCCCCTCTAACTACATTTCAGGCCTTATCGGCTCCCACTGCAACCCGAGTGCCCTCCAGGATCTCTGTTCTAGCTGTGTCAGCAGGTGGTGGGGGAGAGCTGGGTCCGCCTGTCCTGTGCTTCTTGCCCAGGACTGTGCCTGTGAGACTCTGGGCTTCGGAGTTCTTGGCCCCATGTCTCGTGAAGTCATGGGCATCTCATGAGATGAATGCATCTTTGATTTCATGAGGCTCCCAGCCTGACTCTGAATGGGTTGGAGGGAAGGTACAGGGCACATCGGAGGCTATGAGGGGCCCCAGGGACACCCTTCCACCTCCTGAGACTTTCTGGGTGGCCTCAGACAGATGGGGCACCAGAGCCCAAAGACTTGGAGGTAGGGCTGCCTAGGGGCTCTCAAAGCCACTCCTTCATGGGATCTTTGGACAATCCCCAAGGGGCAAGGGACCAAGAAGGCCTGGGCACCCTTCCCTGGGGGAAGGGGAAGTGGGAGGCCTCTTTCCATGCCCCACCCCTTTTGGTAAGTCTGTTTCACTACTAGGGAGCCGGTCTCCTGCCCCTAAGCAAAGAAATGTGGGCAGTGGGGGTGGGAGGATGCAGGGGTATTTCTGCCTTCAGTGTCACTCAACCTGTTAATAAGCAGTTTTTCAGTACCTATGCATACCAAGCCCAGGGCTACCCCATATCAGCCCCACAGCAGCTGCATGAGGTGGGCAGCGTTATTGGAGAGGTTAAGTGGTGTAGCCAAGGTCACAGAGCTGGCCAGTTATGGAGCCCAGGGTTAGACTCTCATATTCTGATTCCAAATGCCACAATCTTCCTCCTCACCGAAGTCTTTCCTTTCTCTCGGGCCCCGCTGTGTGGCAGAGCTAAACTTTTCCTCGAACGATCTGTCTTGGGAGCAGGTCTCTGGCAGCCAGTGCAACTCTACTGTGATCCCTCGCTAGACTTCTTCAGTGACAACAGAGGTGAGGTCACCAGTCCCCAGAGCAGGCCTCCCCGTCTCAAACCTCCTACCAGGGCAGGCGTCTGAATTTTGCCCCTGTCTGGCTCCTTCTTTCTCTAGAAGCAGCGTCCCTAGGTCCAGACTCGCTCACAGGGAGGTGAAGGACATCACATCCCATCCGAGGGGAGCCAGCACGCCCTTCCTCGCCTTCAGTGCCTTCTTCCCTTTTAAAGACATCAGAGCCCAGTGGGCTTCTGTGCTCAGCCCAGGAGGGAGCCTGGAGGCAGGGCTGGTTTGGGTTGTTGGGAGACCCAGGAATAACAAAGAGGCCCCAGTTTCATCCCCTTCTCAGGTTTTGCTCGCCTACGTTTTCTCTATTATCTGACCAACTGTCTCTTCAACATGCCTCTCTAAGCCCCTTAAAAGACAGCGCAGGAACAAGGGAAGAATAAACTCCCAAGGACAAAGAGAAGGGAGAGGAAACCACAGCAGATGAGAAATGACAACCAGATGTTAAAGATGGAAATTCTATGGAGGACTTGGCAGAATGAAGGAAGCTACAACATCAAAGCCAGCAAAAGAGGGTTACCGAAGGGCATAACTGATTTACCCCCAGGATCAAGTCTCTGTACTTGGAGGTGTCTGGGACAAATTCTAGACTGAGAGCAGGGGACTGGCTGGAAATCTTTATGTGGAGAAGAAATATTTCCCAAGTCCCTTCTCTCCATCCAGCACAGCCAGGCTATCCCGCCACCCCACTGGGAAGAAGCCTTCCTCTCTTGAAGGCTCAGTAGAGACCTGCAGTCTTGGGGTCACAAGCCCAGTGAGGATGGGGATAAAGAGAGTGGCTGAAAAGGGAGAGACAGTGTGAAAGCCTGGCTGGGTGAGCCCCTAGCCCTGTCCCAGACTCCTCCCAGAATGCAGACAACAAGGACCACCTCCCCAAATGGGAGAAAGAAAGCCCCAGAAAATGGCAATGGAGAGGTTAAGTGGTATGCCCAAGGTCACGTAGCAGGCAGATACTGACATTGGAGGGTACCTGCCTTAATCCACGTGGCTGCTTTAACTAAGTACCACAGACTGAGTGGTTTGTAAACAACAGCAATTTATTTCTCACAGTTCTGGAAGCTGGAGAAGTCCAAAATCAAGGGGCCCTAGATCCAGTGCATGCTTCCTGGTTCAGAAATGGCTGTGCTTGTGCTGTGCCCTCACACGGCAGAGAGGAGGAGGGAGCGCTCAGGGTCTCCTTTATACGGGCACGAACCTCATTCATGAAGGCTCCACCCTCATGACCTAAATACCTCACCGAAGGCCCCACCTCCTGATACCATCACATTGAGGGGTTCGGATTTCAACAAATGATTTTGGGGGACACATTCAGACTATGGCAGTGCCCCAGGGAAAAGCCTGCTTATAGCCTCCATCTGGAGTGAGTCTTGCCCCTGCACACTGAGCTCCTAGGCCCCTCCACCTGTCCCTCTTAATCATGAATGGAGAGCCAAGGAGTCCCGGGAACTTGAAAAAAACTGCCAGCTTGAAAGAGGAGACTAAAGCAAACAAACAACAGAAATTAGAGACACCACGAAAAAAATTAGTCTTCATTAATATTCTCAGAGGCCATAAGAGAAAACTTTGCGCCTATAAAACAAGTAGTGGACGCGATAAACATAGGAATAGTCAAGGAATGAGAAAGGGAAGTTTTGGAAGTTAAAAGTATAGGAGAAAAATATTTTTAAGAAATAAAAGAGTTGGGATATCAAGTTAAGGAAATCTCGTAGAAGGTGGAACAAAAAGAAATCAGGAGATAAAATATAAGAAACTTAGAAAACAAAAAAGAAGTTGCAATATCCTACTGAGTTCCAGAAGAAAGGAGAAAATGGGAAGGAAGCAATTACCAAAGAATTAATGTAGGACGGTTTCCAGGAACAGAAGGACACAGATTTCCAGGTTGAGGGCATCCACTGAGTGCTCGGTACACACATGGGAAAAAAGCCACACCAGGGGTAAGGAAAGGTGGTGAAATCCCCTAGAGATCAAACTGTAGAAGAGTCTGGAAGCAGAGTGGCACCAGATTTGTTAAACTCAGAAGCTATTGGAAAAACAATTTCCAATTTCACAGGGAAAATAAATTCCAACCTAGAATTCTATTCACACCCAAACTATAAAGAGGAAGGGTTGAACGGAAGCATTTCTAGACATGCCAGGACTGAAAGTGCTTACTTTTCCTGCATCCTTTCTCAGTAAGCTTTAAAATACACGTTCCACTTAAACACCAGTGTCAAGTGAGAAAGAGGAACGCCCCCAGAGCCCGGGCACAGAAAGCCACAGAGGAGAACCGCAAAGAGAGCCCCCAGACAGTGATGTACAGCAGATCCAGGAGCTCCCAGGAGAAGTCCCACCGGTGCTTTACCCGGACATCACACCAGGTGGAGGGGCGATGGAGCATCTGAGCAGAATTCACAGGATCGTAGAAAAACAAAGAGTGGGAAAGATAAGGGGGGCAATAATGAACTTAATGAAAAGCAAAAAATTACACAAGGAAATGTAACCACAATACACTGTGAACGTTAATTTAATTATAATAATGTAAATACTGGTGCTTTTGATTTTGCCAAGATTGGAGGGCCAGAGTATAAGAAAGAAAAATCCTTATCTGCCATGAAAGAAGAAGAAAAAATAATGAATAAAATTGAAATATTAAGAAATGGCAATTTAAGCATAACCTTCAGGAATATGGACGACCAAGGAGAGAGAAATAGTGGAGAGGGTTGAAGATGTCGCCTCTGCAGAACAGGGCTGGGCATGGGGACTGGGGGCAGGACTGGAGACTGCTGGTTCTCCTTAAAACCTTTTAGTTCTGGTGGATTTTAAAACTAGAGCATTTCTTTTTCTCATTTTTAAAAAAAAAGAGAGGGGGAGAGGGAAGGAAGGAGGGAAGGGAGGAGGGAAGGAGGGAAGGGGTCCACTTTCTGGAAACGTCCTCGGGATGCACCCACCTCCCTAACAGCCCCCCTCCGCCCCCACCATCCTTCTGCTGGTGACGTTTGAGCACACAACCCCCCAGCACCCTCCCATCAGAACCACCGACCCTGCATCACCACTCCCCCCTCCAACACACGAACACACACCCTCCTCCGAGCTGCTCCACCGTCACCCCACCTCTGGAGAAAGGACCTTCCAGTTTAAGCCTCTTTTGATAATGAAACAGACCCCCAGTGCCATTTGGGGAAAAGCTTTCATGCCTCAGGATACGGTGTCTGGACCCACTACATGGGTGCATCTCATGTCAGGAACGTTCCTTCGACCAGCTCTCCCACCAAGACCTCTGCCCCCTTGTAATCCTGTCCCCTCTCCAGACCCCTGCAGCTCCCAAGACCTGTGTCACCTGCCTTCAATTTTTCTGGGTCACCACTTGAGCAGGCCTCAGGCTGGGATCACCCCAACCCTGTAGCTAAATTCCTGTTCCTCCAAGGTCCCCAGAACAAACAGCTAAAGACGCTTGGTTCTCAGCAGGTCCCTCCGACCCCTCACTCCAAGGGGCTCCTGGTCCCAACCCCGATGCCTTCCGAGTAATTAATCCCTCTGGAGGGTCCACCCACACAAGGCAGCCCTGGCTGGTTATTAAACTCCATTCTGGGTCTTTTTTCTCTCTCAAGGCCCCAGCTGCTCCTCTCTGCAAGCTCAGTGCCTCCATCTGATTGAAAAATTCCTCCTAGACGCAAGCTGGGGCCCTCCAAGGACGGGGAGCTAAGTGTGACATGGAGAGGAAGACAGGCAGAGGAAAGACATGTCTGCTTTTCTATCTTTTCTCCTGCTTTCCTGCTCATTTTTTTATGAACAGAAGTAGGACTGGCCCAAAGATATTTAACTTCCCAACTCTAAGTCTACCCTCTTTGCCCTCTTCCCCAGGGCAGTGGCCATGGCGAGAGCTTTCCACTCAGCGACTGCTGGCCGGGCATAAATCCACGCTCCTTTCAAAGCAGCAAAAATCAGGCCCTTCGTGCCATCAGCCTTCTCTCCCTTCACCTCCTTTGGCCTCTCTCAGCCTTGGTCATAATATCCAAATCTCCTTAAGATCATTAGCATGGAGCAAAGTGGGTTTGGGGCCATTTTTAAAGAAACCCTGGAGGTGAGGAGGGTATAGCTCAGTGGTAGAGTGTGTGCTTAGTATGCATGAGCTCCTGGGTTCAACCCCCAGCACTTCCATTTAATAATAATGATAATGGCTTTCCTGAAATACACGTATTTTAACTCAAAACT